ATTAAAAACTATGGGAAAATTATTACTTTAGGTTTACAAAGTTGAGACCTGTAGAGTCTTTTTGTTTATTATTCCTTTACAAACCAAGTAAAGGCTTGGGAACAGCCTTGACTCTCAGGTACCTGTTTTCAAACAACTAAACAGACTCTTGAAAAGTTACTTTCTTACCATTTTGGTCCAGTATTCCTTAAAATATCTTAAAAAATGAAACTAAAGAAAAAAATGTAATGTCAAGAAATTATGGCATATGAACTTGATAAAACTCATTATCTGTTCGTTTTCATGAATCACAGTAACTGTCTTGTCTATAGCTTTCCTTCCAGTGTCCATTAACAGACCACTTAAAATATTTAACGGTGGGTCTAATGACTAAACTCAGTATCTGTTTCACCAAAAAGTTCTTTCCAAATGTTTCAGCGTTATCCACTCACCCTAGGGTTTTCTCACTGTGGTGCTACTTTCTGTACTTTGTGACCCAGCCTACACAGGAGAATTGAGCTGATGCCTTCATGGGTCCTCTACCCTATCCTTTTCCTTTAGAGTTCTGTGGGACTGTTATGTTTTGACATAAAATATTATATCTCTTTAAATGTGCTTGAAATATATTTATTGTTTATATTTGATATACTTAGTTTTGAAGAAGTTATTGGTCAATGTAGGTAGAGTTCATTAAAATTTGGAAAGGACTGTGTACCTGTATGCATTTTGCCCAGAGTACAGAGCTGTTAATGGGTGAATCTTTGAAGAACATTATCAGCTCCAGGGAACATTTAATCTTCAGGAATATCTGATGTGGTCATATTTCTGTTTTAATGTGTGATGCCTCTGGACTCTATAGAGGCTGGATGGTTTTCATTAAAATCAAATGTTATGGAATAGGAAACACTTTTGAGAAAGAGAAAAAAGTGTTTTGATAATGCAAGGTTTCATAAGCACTCCTGTGAAATGATGCAAACCCAAAGGAAAACCTTAATCCCCTATTGAACTGAAATTGAGTGTCACTGTCCATCACCTTTCCAAAAAAAAAAATTCTTTCTAAGACAACCTTGGATGGAGAAAGAAAGAAATGATATTGTAATTGAGGTTCATAGCTAGAGGATGCCTGAGGGGCCTGGCACCAGATTGTGATGTTGCTAAGAACAGAATCCAAACTTTTGGACTCCTAGTTACTTTTCATATCTTGCGGTCTTGAGCTGACATGTGAATATTTTTATTTTAAAAAAGCAGCAGGCAGAGAGTGTCCAAAAAAATCAAATTCCTATTTGCTCAAGAAATTCACGTTGACATTGTGATTAATGCCCCGGGTTTGTAAACTGTTTTACTAAAACTATAAGGTAGGATTATATTTTCTTTCATTTTACATCTTTCATATTTCCAACTAATCTCTAGTTAGAAAGATTTACTCTTGCCTGCAGGCATATGTCCTGCATTTTGTCTGCCTGTCCTTTCTTAGATGGGGGTGGGGTGGGGAAGCTAAGTTCTCTAAAAGAGCAATTAAACTTTCATACAGAGAGAATACAGTGGCAGATCGTTTCAACCAAACCATCATGATAAAATTCAGCTAGAGTCACACCAAGAATATCCACAAAGTAGCTACTCTGTTCTTTCTTGGCATGGTGGAGGAATAGACAGAATTATTAACAAAAAGTAAAATAAAATAATTTGGATTAATTATTCAATTACATCAACCTATTCTTTATAACTCTTCTTTCTTACATGACCCTTATGTAAATGAAAAATCAATGATATATGCAAGTAAGTCACCAATATTTGCCCATGAGAATGAAATCCTTTTTTGCCAGCCTCCTGCTACAGGCACTGATTTGGCTGAGCATTGAAGGTTGATCTGTTAACAGACTCAGCTTGGAATGAGGGCATTCTGGCAAGAGTGAATAACATAAAGAAAGCATAGAGATGAACTTGAAGATGTAAACAAGACTCTTAAAGTAAGGACTGTAACACAGTCCAGACAAAATGTGAAATATTAAGAGAGGACTCAAAAATCAGAATTGCTGAGAATTCTGATTGCCTGGTTAAAAGTTCTGGTTGATGTAATAGGAAATAGGGAGTTTGGGAGAATCTTGAACTAGGCAGAGCTTTAGGAAAGTGATCCAGTTGACATTTAACTTTCACTGGAAAGTATGCAAAAGGAAAAATTGTCACATTCTTTGCATTAACTGTAGAAGTAAAAATTTTGGTTGAAAGAAATTAACAAAGATTAAAATGTGGTTTAGAGTTAATCTTGGATAATGATTATTCAAATATTTTTCTCCTTCATATCATGAGTATAGAAAATTAGTTCATTTGTCAGATATAAGTTGGTTATATTTTTTCTAGGCAGTCTCTCAGATGTTAAAATAATTTTCCCTTGACATAGGTTTTAGGACAACAAAAGCTCAATGAAAATTCCTCCCCAAAGAGAGTAATTTTTATTTTGATTTATCCATAGAGAACAGAGAGCTAAAATTCAACTTTGATAAAACTAAAAATCAAAAAATTTTAAAAACTAATCTGAAATAAAGCATTATCCTTCACAGCACCCATCTCTTTTTCTATTTTATGGAATGATTTCTGAGAACTTCTGGTATTTGTGGATTTAACTAAGGCGTTATTTGTAAACGATCCGAGAGATGTTTGGAATGAAGTATTTTGTAATTTTGCTGAGGCATGAGCCACACAGACTAGGTGGGGGCTCAGATACGAGTTGTCAAGCTAGAGCATAAATCTTAACAAACATCAAACATTCACTGCCCAAAGTGGTTTTGTTTCTGTCCACTCAACCATCATGCAAGATGGTGAACGTTATACCTTGCATTATTTTGGACAAAAGCAATATACTGTAAAGTTATTGCAAATATGGAACTATGTAAAGAATGTGCCATTAATGCATGTCAGAAGTCTGCTTCACATTATAGACTGAGCATACATGAGTTGAGGTCTACCACTGAAGAAGACCAGCTAGGGGTTTCACTAGAAAATCTATGGTTCTCTAGAAACTCTCGGGGAAGTCAACAGAAGTTGGCCTTTAAGTTTTAGGATTTTAAGATTTAAATATCTTTAAATAATGCTGGCATTGCATGTGTCCTTTTTGGGTTTGAATCATTTGTTTTGGAAATCATAAAAATTGTCAAACAGTTGATTAAATGTGAAGAGTCAAATTTATGCAACTGAATTTGGAATTTCCGTTTTTGCAACAAGTGAGTCAGATTTAACATTTGGCTTTTGATCACTTGTTAATGAGTCACTTGATTGGAACTCTAATGATCTCTAAATTAAAATTTCTAAATGAAATATGAGACCCAGTCTATCCCTGAGTATTAGAAAAATGACTTAGATGAATTCATTGCCAAAATCATTATTAGATCCTTATGGAGAATCATTTAGAGTATTATTATTAGAAATAAGAAGTAAAAAATATTTGCTTTCTAAAAATAACTTACCTGGGAGGTTTGAAATGTAGTGACCCTTATTGACTTTAGCTATCTGTTTAATGTAAAACTCTCACAGTGCCACTACACTTACTGTTAGATATAGAATCTGTGATATCTCCCATTTTTTAAAATTGGAATTTTTATTATGCCCTAAAGAGTGGCCCGATCATCAAATATTCTGAATTCAGGTTTTGACAGAAGGCACTTCCCTGGGGCTGCTGATGGGAGCTGTCGGTGATACTTCCCTGTAAGGAACAAGCTGTCTTGTCAGTGTTAGGCAGACGCTGCAATTTAAGCTTTATCTAGTTAAAAATAGCCAGGATTTACTGTCCTCTTGAATTTTATACTCTTTTTTGCAAATATCAAGAGAAGTGATACCATTCTTGGAGACAGCTTTATATTTAGGGTAAATTTCTTTTTCTTTTTTTTTTTTAATGAGGATAAACTGCCCCCTAAAGCACTGAAAACATGATTTCTCTTTAGCTACTGGGGGGTAGTTGTAGCCGAAGTGAAATAAAACAAACAAAAAAGTAACAACAAAGGTAAACCTTTCCTTCCATGCTTACACTGATTATCTGCCCTCCAAGACGTGCAAAATTCAGAAGACACGTGAAAGAAATCACAAGCGTTAGTACTTCACACATGACATTGCACCAGAGTAATACTTTCCTAGATCTGGTTTTGCTAGTGTCTGGATTTGCTGTTGTCTTCAAGATGAATGCTGAAAACAGAAATAAACCCTAACCTCAAATCTGCTGGGCCCAACCAAGGCCTGGACTACTTCTACCCGACCTAGTACAAGTCAGCTGACTAATGGTCCTTGGTCTTCTCCCCTCTCAGAATGGGAAGAGTGCTTCCACACTGAAACCAAGGCTAATGGCAGTCGTCAGAGGCCTCTCAGAAGGCATCTGACCCACATCTGCAAGGAATCATAAAGCCTTTTCAATAAAGGAGGGCCCAGAGCCTCCTTGGTGACCCTCTTGGGAAACCAAGGCTCCTTCCCTTGAATGAGTGAGAACCCTTTGCTAAAGCATCCAGACAGGCCAGTTGTGAACCTCACCTCTGCTACGTGGACCAATCATCCAGTCACGTTAGGTGTAGCAGGTGATTCCTCATTGTGACGGCTAACGCTGCAGGGGGTAAGGGAAATGGGGCACTGGTGTATCCTTCAGGACCCCGGGCTGAACTAGACTACTGGACCTTCCAGAGTGTGGCCCTGATTCTCAGTGTGGCCCACAGTATTGGAAGCCTCCTCCACCCAGATAATTCAGTTTTACTTTTCTATTTCTCTCCTTGTCTCCAGATCACACCTGCCTGCAGCTGGGATACCTAAGATCTCACACATTTGGCCTTTGGGGGTAGGGACGGCAAACGGCTCATGTTTATATGCTAGATCTGCTCTTCGGTTTCGGTGTTAGTTTTTTCTCTTACATGATGACGTAGGTGGAAGGGTGTTGGGAGCCTCTTAGGCACCACACATTTTGCTTCCCTCCATCCAGCATGTTGAAAGAAAAATGCACAGTGAAGTTACCTCCAATTCCTTTTAGGTTAGGATTTTAAACAAGAAGATCGATTTTAGCAAGGTTCAGTCCAGATGTGGTTCAAAGGATAACATCAAACATTCTGCTGGGGGCGGAAATGTAAGTAGAAGCTTCTGTCGGAAGCTGTCCTGAGTGTGTGGAAACGCCTGCACAGCCAGCACTTCGTCTCCTTTCCTGCTTCCCCCCAGCACACTCCCCCTTTCTCGTTGCTGCTCCACAGGTCCCTCGGGCTTGGGAGCTTGTCACCCTCGCACTCTCGGTAATGGGCTTCCCATCCTTCCCTGTAAGATCATCAGTGAGTTTCTTGCTTTTGCAAGGTGGTACGCTATGGGATTCAGGGAGATGGAAAACCCTCTTTACTTGCCAATTTTGTTTGCTGGCCTTTGGCTTCAAGGTATTTTCTCACGCTGTTTCTACTGCCCTGCGAACGTCAGCTGGACACACGCTTTTCTTGCTCCATTTAAATTACTCTTGAGGCAAAGACTGTTGTGCCTGAAAGTACCCGAAGTGTATAATGTCAATCTTTTGTGCTTTATTATTCATGAGAGTTGGGATATCATTTGGAATAATACACAACTGGTGAAGCAGGGCTCATCTGTAATTCAACGTGAAAGGATTCAAGTCCCAGTACACCCTTCGTCTTGATGGGATTTTTTTTTTCTGTCTCTTAAATTGAGTGGAAATAATATCCTATGAGAGGAAGGAAAAGGTGAATCCATGTTTCTCAAATGTGGTTGAGGAAGAGTTGAAACAGGCAAACTCCAGCTAAAGTAAGCGTGGTTCTCTGTAAAATTAGAACAGTGAAACAGGTGAACAGGCTGACTCTCTGTACTACAGATCCTGTCACCTAAACTTCAGATTTTGGCCATCTGTGACTCAAGTAATTTACAGAGTAGCCAACCCAGAATTCTCATCTGTCCAGTAAGTCTTGGCTCCTTGTTCTTCAGCCGGGCAGAGGTGAAGTCAAGCAGTGAACGGAGAGACAAGCCAGTGCCTCCTAGCAGGAGCTGTCACCTGATGTTCAGAGTAGCTCCACGGAGCATGAAAGTGTCACATGTGGGAAGACCACACAGCAAGGTTTGCTGGGCTCCTTCTAGGGTACAGGGCTTAGTATTTACAGGGACGTGGTTGCCCTCCTCCCTGTGGCCCTGACTGTGCGTGCACACCACGTGGTGCTCTCACAGGAGCCATCTCAGTCCTGGTAAATAACTTGAGGGTATAGGAGGGTGGACCCAGCTGCTCTGTGCTGTAGGTGCTGCTGGTCAAAACACCCACATAGAAAAGGATACATTGAGATAACTGATGATCTTAAAGTAAGTGGGGGAGCTTCCAACCTCTAAAACAGTCGTCCTAAACTTTCCCCTAAAGAAGAATCACTTGTTCAAGTCTGCCAGTTCCCTGGCCTCATTTCCACAGTGTCCGATTCAGTAATACCCATGTGCTCTGATGCAAATGAACCAGGAGCCACACTTGGGAACCAAGATAAAATCATTTAAGTAAAACAGAAGAAAAAATGTTGCAATCACTTTATAAATTGGTGTGCAAGAAAATTCCATTCAACCAAGACATGACAATAATATTTTAGAAAAGCACGTTTAGAGCTTTCTTGTTGTTTCTTAAAACAATGTTGGGCTTTTTTAATTTATGAGCAGTGTTGGTCACCTTTAAGTAAAAAAATCACTTTTTAAAGAATAATTTCTCTGTTCATGTGGCTCTTTGCTTATGGAAAGGTTAACACGGTGTGGCTTCATTCTCTGAGTGGAAGCTTGCCTTATTAATCCAGGTGTTTCTGTCCCCTTGTGGCATGATCTGTTTTCTACTAATAAAATCTTCTATTCTAGGACTTTCTTTCACTTGGGTTTTTCTTTCCAACCAAACATATGGGAGGCCATATGGAAGACTGTATTTTCCTGTGTGTGTCTGTTGTTTTATGTTGTGGGTTTGGATATGTCTCTAGATTTTATGTATGAGCTTGGGGGCTTGTTCATGTCTAAACTATTTTAAGTGTATTTTTTGTGGCTGACACAGGTACAGATTGTTACCAAGAAGATAGACCTGAGTCATGTGACCTCCAAATGCGGCTCCCTGAAGAACATCCGCCACAGGCCAGGTAAATGGTGCTTTTTAGTAGTTTGAGAGATACTAATTGGATTCAAGAAATCGGCAAACAAAATATTTGTTGCTGTGAAGTATCTAATTGGAAGGACATTTCCAAACCTGATACTTCATGCTTTTATTAATAGAAACTTAAATTAGAAATTTCAAGCCATCTCCATTTGGACAAGTGAACTCAGTTACCACGAACAGGCCACATATCATAGGACATGTTAAAAACTAAAAGGTACATAAGATTCATTTATCTCTATATACTTGGCATGCTTGTTGGAGCTCTTCTGAAATATATAGCCGATAAAATACATCGGGCCATGTATTCATACATAACACATGGACTGAAAGGAGCATTTCCAAAGATTTTTCAAGAAATTGTTTTTCTACATTATGTGAAAAAAGGACTGGACTTATGCAAAGCTGAAAAAATGTATTTTTCAGCTGAATTTCCCAGATCCTTTAGTAGCTCAATAAGCATTGTGAATCCTTAGGAGAAGGCAGTGTTTCTCCAACTCATTCGACTGTGCTTCTTGTTTTTCTAGAATCTCTCATAGGACTAGTGCTCTGAAGTAGAATTGTATTCGTACTTTCTGCGTTTTTTTTTCCCTCTTTAATTTGTGAATCTAACATATTGAGCCTTTTTTTCTTATTGTGTAATATGTTTTTGCTAAATTCCACCTCCATGCATGTGTAAATAATGGACAACTATCAAATTTGTAATTTTCTTCAGAATATTTTGACACAATTGATAAATACAATTGAAGGACAAGAGGAAGCAATCAGTTTTAACCACCTATGCTTGGCATCTTAATTAAACCAGATAATAAGTTATTCCCATTCATCGCTGTCTCAGATGTTATCAGAACAAGGTAAAAGAATGGTTGAGCCCAGTGAGACTTCTAACCAGATTATTAAGAAGAATTTATTAGTTAAAAAACAAAGGTAGATAGGTAAGTTTCAGAACGGATACATGCATTGGGAACATGTCTAGAGATTGGGTTTCACTTTGGCAGAGTATTCATAAAGCAGATCAAGGAGTTAGAAACTCTGTATAAAGAATCTCCATTACTAGTTTCAGAGCTGCTACCCTGGAATCAGCTTCTCTGTCATTCATGAGACAGCAAGGACACGCTCCCACATGGAGCCCGTCTGTAACTTAAGACCGCAAACACTTAATTTACTTTGTACTATGCCAATAGTGTGATGGAAGTATTTGGCCACACTGCCTCTTTTCTTCCAGAACACAAAAGAAAATACTGGATTCTTTAATTCAAGACAGTGAGTATACAATTAGTTAAATTCACCTGGGATCTGGAGAAAAATCTTACATAGATAAGGAAATATTCTGTGTAAGACTTGCTGGTTAGAAAAGGCTACTGTCACGGGCTCTCACATATTTCTAAATCTAGCTCTTGCTTTATAATAAATCAATCAGATGACTAAATCCATAAAGAAGTGTTAGCACAATGATCCTTGACAACAGCAAGCTTTTCACAAAGTTACTTTGGAATGTGGAATGTCTCAGGGGAAAAGAAAGGAAACAATTCAACACCTGGAGGCACAGATTGACATATCTGGTCTTATCAGCTTCACTTTAGGACATAGGAAGCTTGATGAGAATTATAGTCTTTCACAGTTTCTGTTTCTGATGCACCAGAATTCTTCAGAACTCAAGGCATAGATCTCTGAATTCAAATGGGCTTCTCTAACAGTTACATAAAAATACCTAATAGGGCTTCAACAAAAATAGACATCTCCAGCTTCCTTTTAGAATATATTTTGGGTCAATATTACATTGTTATTTTCTTCTCTCTCGCAAAATACAATTCAACAAAAATGTTAACTGGGTTACCTTGTCACAATACATCATCATAAAAGAAAACTTGAAAAGATCATTTCTATCAGAGGCTACCAAAAAATAGAAAAACAAGATCCCCAAAAAGTTAACCTCACCTAGTTGAAAGCTCAATGTCCTCCAGCCTCTAACCAAGACAAGTATGTTTTATGAATCACACTAATCCTGTTACAACCAACAAGTGAGACCCACGGCACCCGGTAAAATGTAGGAAGGATAGCAGCCCCACACCCTGTGAGGGGAGGACCACTGCTTGTCTCCTGTAAGCACGAGTTAAATGATATCATGCACATCCTAAGCCTTCAGGAGAAGAATGAGTGAATCTTCAAAATGTAATCCAGTAACACCATACGGTTTCAAGGTGCCCCTGGCTAGGTAACTGGATGTTAATAAAAATGTCTAGGTATCACATGAGAAAAATACCACAAGGCCAAAGAGACCTGTGAAGCTTTAGCTGACCTTTCTCTTTGATCTACAGAGATAAATAAGCATCAAGAGTCCAAAACTGAAAAGCCTTTTCCATGTTTCCATAGAGTCAGTCCCTCAGGTATTTTTCCCAAACCGAAATCCCAAGACAAATGCAATGAGAGTAGAGGATCACATGGCTCACCACTGGCCTTCCCCAAAATGCACACAGACAAAACCAAGTTTCTAATGAAAGTGAAAGCTAACCTCTTAGGTGGAGACAGGCGAAGGCATCTAATCCAGCTTCTTTCCAGGTCAAAGACATCAGCAGACAGACTCAAGAACAGGCCAAAAAACAACAGATTCCTCCTCAGTGTAGAATTCCTTGCAGTCACAAGCCTGAGAAAGGCGTGCAGAGATGGGGAGTGTCACTGAAGGCTGGCTCGTGGCACTCGCACCTATCAGCACATCCTCGAGTGTCAGACTCATTAGCATGTAAGGAAATGGCATGATCAAATCTCTGTCTCAATATCATCAGATCAGAGTCAGTGTCGGATTGGTCCTCTGGCATCTGTACAAGAATGAGTTCGCCTAAAATTCTCTTCCTTTCACTCCATCTGTTTAAAACGGAAGTTCTTAAACAACTTAGCTCTTGACTCCAGTTTCCTCAGTCAAACTATCAATGCTGAAAATTTACAAATGAGTATCTCACCCACGTATGCACGTATATGCTAGCCTAATTGTTCTTTGGACAAGTGACCTAGTACCATGAAAAAAGATAGCAAGCTTCGTTTCAATTTAATTTGCTCCCTTAGGAATAAGAGACTAAATGTTCCAAGTTTTAGGAAGCATACATATGATACTTCCATTACACTCTTAAAAAAAACCGCCTCTGATATCTTAGGCTAGACACGAGTCGAGGAGAAAAGTATTACTGTGTGAAGCAATCCATATAATGGTACCGAAAAGGATGGTACAAGATACCATCACTCTCTTGGATGGTATGGAGAAAATGGTATGAGCTAGAAATTCTTAAAGATTCCTTTTACACCCATGGTCAGAAGGATAGTAGAGTTAAGTTTGTGGTTTGCAGATGGTCTGTCTACTATAATCATTCTGTGGAGATAGTTACCACAAATATAAGGTTTAACTTTAGCAAGGCATGGAAAAAGCCTTTCTCCTCTCATACACAGGTGGTGGGCGTGTGAAAATTGAGAGCGTGAAACTGGATTTCAAAGAAAAGGCCCAAGCTAAAGTCGGTTCGCTTGACAACGCTCACCACGTACCTGGAGGTGGAAACGTCAAGGTAAGAAACAAGATCTTAAGCCAAGAGCTGATCTTGTCTTTTTTCTTAAATCCTTCTGAAATACTCTTCATCAGAACGGCTCCCAGGAAGCAGAGACAGCAGAGCTGCATAGAAGTGACGTATCAGCTCTGGGATATAGAGAGCGAGCGTGGGGACAGTTAAGACGCTTGAGTTAATGAGGACTGATGCTTGTCTTGAACAGATTGACAGCCAAAAGCTGAACTTCAGAGAGCACGCGAAGGCCCGTGTGGACCATGGGGCCGAGATCATCACGCAGTCCCCGGGCAGGTCCAGCGTGGCGTCCCCCCGGCGGCTCAGCAACGTCTCCTCTTCCGGAAGCATCAACCTGCTCGAGTCCCCTCAGCTTGCAACCTTGGCCGAGGACGTCACTGCCGCACTCGCTAAGCAGGGCTTGTGAGATACTTCTCACTTAGCGTTGAAGTAATACTATTTAGGCATGAGCGCTTGGCAGGAGTGGGCTCTGAGCAGGTGTTATATTCATTCTTTACAAACCATGAAATAAATAATCTCATTTCCAAACTGTAGTAATTGTTACCATTTTATAAAAAAAAATTGAATAGTATATGCAGAAATTGACTTGATTTCCATTTGCAACAGGAAGACACTGGCTTTACATGAGTACAATTGGACAATTATTTTTGCTCTGCTCTGTTTTGCATGGAGTATTATTATTTTAAAAATTGCATTTCTACCTTTCATGTGCCTGAAGGCTGTCCACTACATTCTGAAAAGCCTTGTTAAAAATCCGAGCTGCTCATTTCACTATTCTGTTGCTGGGTCAAAAGATAAAAGCTGCCCATTGTAACTTATTACAGGTTAAATTAAATCAAGGAGGCTGATTGCAGAAAGGGAAGAGCATGTAAGAAATAAGCTTTTTTTTTTAAGCGTTATTTTGTATAAATGGGAAGAAAGATTCAATTAAGTTATTAACATTTGGGACCTGGATAGTTATATCAGAGTATAAGTCAATCCAATAAATTATTTAACTAATTAAAAAATAGTTACAAAGCATCTGAGCTGTGGTTGAGGAAGTGGTGTAAAGTGCATCTCTTAGGAATGAAGCACTTTCGTTAGGATGGACTCGTGTCTGATTAGAATGTCAGTTGATCAGCTAGATTTGTGTCCACACTACCAGTTTCACATTCCCTTTCCATCTGTCTGATACAGTATTATAGATATAAATATATATATATTTCTCTGTGGCCATTTGTGATACTTCCTCATATACTTGAATATTATACTTCCTTATTCACAGTATCTGTGTCTCCTGCACCCTTTGGTGTTGCAATTTTAGGTATGTGAAAGTAGATGTTAGCAAGGTTCTTTCCCTATTTAAAAAAAAAAAGTTAAAAAAGACAAAAAGTTTTAGCATGAAGTTGCTTTCTGTAACAACTCAAAGCTGTTACCCTGTTTTAGTGCCAGATACAAGTCTCTCCCGTGATGCTAGAAAAATGTATTTTTCTTTACTTTCACCAACATGGAATTTGTGGGGGTGGGTCCAGTTATACATAAAAGGGTTTACAGATTGTTGGTTTAGGATTATGGATTTATCTTATTTTGAATCATGGAATAGTTTGGGTTTTATTCCTGTAATCATTCATGAAACAGACTTCTTAAGAGTTCTTTTCCTTTTTTTTTTTTTCCATTTGCTAAAGTTGAAACTTATAGTGGGAGTTTGGGGCACGTCACCCCATTCTTACAAATAGTACCTGTTTATTAAATTATCTAACAGAAGTATTTGGCTTTCTTACCCAAAGTCGAGATCCCTTGACCTGAAGAGAAATAGATGGTATTTTGAGAAGCTGTAGGTACACAGCATTGGAGATGCAGATATCTAAATCTGTTTTTTCAGGACTCCAACATTGCACTCTATAAAGCAACACTGTATTACTTACTATTATTTATCAGTAGATAATACTATTCTGACTTTATATATAGTCCAGAAATCGCAAATCAGTTATTTCTTCTCACAAATCATTCATCTTAGATTTATGAATAAGCAATGAAATAGTCAATAGCCTGAATAAGGCAATGAGTTACCAGGATGGATGGATGCTTTTTAGTAGTTTATCTGTTTTGTTTTGTTTTTTTTTCCTTGCTCAGGGCTGGTAGGCTGGATCTAAACAGTTAAAGGCAAATGGTCCAGTAGTTGTTTGGTCCCTTTGAGCCAAATCAGTTCTCATATATAAAGGAGGAAATGATGAACATGGACTGAGGCAACAAGCTAGGATATAGTAGCATCTTAAAAAGAAGCCAAGGGATGCAAAGACAGAAAGACACGGATCCCATTTTGTGACCCATTGGACACTGCAACCAATGTGACTTCCATAAAAGAAAACTAAGAGCAAAAGTGCACCATTCATTCTCAACTAAGAGGTTTTACGTAGGCAAACGTTTCTGAAGCGATTTATAGGTCAGTTATTTTATAGCGCAGTCAAAAACTTAGAGATGACTAATCAGGCCTATGGATGTGTCTATTTTCTGCCTGATAATTGCTGTGAGTTTTGGTTTGACCAATCTGGGCATTTTATTTTATTCATCAGCTTCCCTTGAAATGCACCAGAAAATAGGAGAAGGAAGAATAGCTGTGTGGAGGCTTATAGTATTTTCTTATGTGTTTGATAGTGTTAGATAGTGATTAAAACTCTAGAAAGAAGTTAACAGCTGATTAGAACAGTTTTAAACTGTGAAACAAGTATTTTTTTTCAAACTGGTTTAAAATGTTTATGAACACTAAGAATGAGTAAACATGCTCTACATATTAAAATATTTCTTACAAATACATGTCTAAAAGATTTTTTGAAGTACCAACAAATTAGATTTGGCATTAAAATAAATGTTTGCTTCAAATCACAGCAAAATTATAATGATTTATAAAAATATAAATGCCCTTGCTTTGTATAGAAATGCAGTTCTTTATAAAAAGTTAACAAAATGAAACTGATCATTTTGTAAAAGAGGGAAACACAGGCTAAATGTCTTCTTATGGGAAGAAAGGGTGGAACCCATCTTGCCTTCACTCTCAAGATTAACGACACAAATTAAGCTTTTTGAACACCACTCTTGTGGGGACATCCATACGCTGATCTAGAAATCAAAGCTTCATAGTTCCACTTCTAGATCTATTAATGCCAGTTTCTCTCTGGCTTTAGCCTTTGAGAACCTGTTTAAAGATACATAAGTAATCCAGAGCTGTGAAGAGTTAAAAGGCCAACTCTCTCTCTGGGTCACCTGCAGCCAATAATTGGGTACCTTACAATGATGCAGGAGAGATCCGAGTTCATGATGAGTTTCAAAGGCCATGTTCATTTAGGAACCAACTCTCTCTGGATTCTCCTGCTGAGTTCCAGCAGGGTGATGGGCTGAAATCCCACCCACAAGCGAGACACCTGTGTAACACCAACTAGGTATAGCTGAAGAAGGCTGAAGCGGGCCCTTGGTTAAATGGAAACATGGACTAATGGTAGCTGGCCTTCTCCACACACTCATAGAGTCATATAGAAGGAAATGGGACTATCAGCCAAAATATAACATCACGTCAATAGCATTAAACAAATAATCTCAATATGGTTGATTCTGACATAGTTGCAACTATAGTATTTTCTCCTATTTTTTCATGCCACACAAAGGAGGAAAGTAAACTATTCATGGTCTAAGTAGCCAGAAAAGATAGATTTATGGCTTGCAAAGGCAAATTCTAGGCATTCCTTCAAAGATTGATGCACTAAAATCAGCACTGATGTTTGGTTTTTCACACCTAGGATTTTTAGCCTGGGTATGTAGGTTGAGGCCAAGTCCCTCTGCAGGAAAAAGCTTATTTTTAAACTCAGAAAATGTCAATCATGGAAATCTACTTCAACTTTAGCAAAAAGAAAAAAAATCAACAAAAAGTATACTCTGTATGCTGGGATTCCAAGGTTCCAACATGCCGCTACAAATCTGTGGGGGGTTTCTTTCTTCTGATAATTCTAGAGCCTGTTACCATAGAAAGGCATTTCTCCAATGGCTGGTTGTAGTTAGTTCATGTTTTTCAATCAAAATTTGCAAATGTATTTGTTGCTGTATAGTGATTGTTTTGCAAAATAAAATTGCTTGTCACCTAACTGATAGTTTGGGATTGTTTCTTCTTCTTCTCTGGAAAAAAAGAATAAAAAATAAAACAAAGTAAAATAAAGTAAAATAAAATATATTGCTTTATCCAACCAAAGAAAAATTTTGAAGAGATGGCTACAGTTATATGCTGAATTCTCTACTGTGTCAGGCGCTATCCCCACTGTATTAGCAGGATGCTATCTGTTACAGGTGACAGAAACTCAAGTTGGGCTAAGTATAAAGGCAAATTTTGGGGCTCAAGTAACCGACTAGGTAGATCTAGTCAGGCACTCAAAAAAGGTCATTAAGAATCTTTCTTTTTTTAACTCCGAATCCAGGCTCTCAAAAGATGTCACCAGGAATTTTTCTTTTTCCAAATTTTAATTCTGCTTCCTCTGTGTTGAATTCATTCTCAGGCAGGCACCCCTCTCATAATGATCACTGGAAACTCCAGGTTTCACAACCTCCCCCCAAAAACCTCTTTCCAAAAAGCACTAGCCAAAATGCAGGGTCTGAAAATCATTGAACTATTTAGGTCACCTGCTCAATTGTGCTGATCGGCCAGGGTTGGGTCGCATTCCTACCTCCATCACAGCTGGTTGGGGTGGGTGGAGAGGAAAGCGAGAATGGCGTCATCTGAACTGCATAAACTAATCATGGACTGGAATGCTTTCCTCCAATTCAAGTCAGGCTGCTACCGCCAGAAAAGAGAGAAATTGTTGCTTTGCAGGCCATGGAAACACATCCCCTCCATCCACACACCCTGTTCTCTATCTTTATTCATCCTTCAGCTCCTTGCTGCTCAGATTGTGCCCAGGCTTCACCTGGGAGCTTGTTCTGAGCAAATCCTCAGGCCACACCCAGACCAATTTACAGCATTCCCCTAGGTGATTCCTCTGCACATTAAAGTCTGAGAAGCACTCAGCTCATCCAGTCGCCATGAATACACTTGAGGAGAAAGAGCTTCATTGCCACCTACTCACAGGTAAAAATGACCCCTAAGACTATTTGAGACGACAGCATCAACTCTGATGTAAAAGAGTTTAGTTACCAAATGGTAGAAATGTGTGACAGGTGGAAGAATCACTTTTGAATTGGAGGTTTTCTAGACATGTGTCATTCTCACTTGGCTGAAACCTACTTCTTCTACCAATAATGCAGATTTGGTACAATCTAGCCAAAATCATGAGTAGGATTTGCATCTTGAACAAGTCAAATTATTACTTAATAATTTTTTAAGATTAGCATCTGTGTTATCCTTCCTAAAGGAAGCCTTTAAACCACAGGGGAGTAAGACATTTATTTGTCTGGTAGCATGAAGTCTTTTTTTTTAAATGACATATAGTTGATTTGCAGTATTGTGTTAGTTTCAGGTGTACAGCACAGTGATTCAGTATTTTTGCAGATTGTATTTCATTATAGGTTATTACAAGGTATTGGATATAATTCCCTGTGTTATGCAGTAAATTCTTGTTGCTTATCTATTTTATAGATAATAGTTTGTATCTGTTAATCCCACACTCCTAATTTGTTCCTTCCCACCTCCCTCTCCCCTTTGGCAACCATAAGTTGTTTCCTACATCAGTTTCTGTTTTGTATAAACATTCATTTGTGTTATTTTTTAGATTCTACATGTAAGTGATATCATGTAGTATTAGTCTTTCTCTGTCCAACTTATTTCACTAAGCATAATACTCTAGATCTAATCATGTTGCTGTAAATGGCACCATTTTATTCTTTTTTATGGCTATTATGATTAATATGCATTATATATATGACAGCTTCTTAATCCAATCACCTGTTGATGGACACTTGTGTTGCTTCCATGCTTGGCTATTGTAATTATGAACATTGGAGTGCATGTATCTCTTTTAATTAGTGTTTTGGGGTTGGGTTTTTTTTTTTTTTTTTTTGATACATACCGAGGAGTAGAATTGCTGGATCATACGGTAGTTCTATTTTTCAGTTTTTTAAGGAAACTCCTCCATACTGTTCTCCATAGTAACTGTACCAATTTACATTCCAGCCAACAGTGGAGGGTTTCCTTTTCTCCATAGCCTCTCCAACATTTGTTATTTGTAGACATTTTAATGACGGCCATTCTAACAGGTATAAGCTGATACCTCGTGGTTTTGATTTGCATTTCTCTAATAATTAGCCATGTGCCATAATAAAGGTTGATTTGTTGTTGTTGTTGTTAACAAGGCAAAGAAGAATGTCCTTGCCTTGAGAAGAGACCAGTAATTCAGATATAGTGTAGGATGGCAGGATAACTCTCTACATAGTGTATTTTTGGGGGTGGGGGGGGAATGTTTCTCTTTCATGATGTGGCACCTATGATGTAGAACTATGACCCAAACAGTTCAAGGCTAGAATGTTGTCCCTGTCAAAAGTACACTTTCCAGAAACCTAAAAATTATTTCAAAATACTGTCTTCTAGATTTTCTTAAATACCTTGAAGAAACATCATAGACACAGCCCTAAAGGCTCCTTTTTTCCTCTCATGCCTTTGCATCGCAAACACACCACAGCTGTTCCCACTTTGCCCTCAAATTCTATTAAAATTTCCTGCCCCAGGCCTAGCTGAGGTAATAGACCTGAGGCCTCCAGATGTGTGTTTAACCTTCACAGTGTTTTCAAATTCAAGAAGGTTCACACCCACACACACTCCTAGATTTGGATCTTTGAAAAGTTAAAAGATTTGGCAACAGTGGGCCTGTGCTGGTTCATAACAATTGGCTGGAGCTGGTCCATGAATGACGAGATGGGTCCGTTCCCTGCACTTGTCCTGTTATTACTCCCAGCCCACGTTGTTCCCTTTCACTTATTACTGTGGCATTTCGAGTCTGTAACGTCTGGCCTAGACCCACTTGTCTTTCCCTCTTTCCCATTTTCTTCCTCATTCTGTGAAACAAAAACCCAAAAGTTCAAGCCCCAATCCTAGAGTAGGGGAGGGAAAAGGTCAGGTTGGGCAGATCAGATCAGAATCCGCAGAGAGCCTGGGAGCCTGGGAAATCAATTTTTAAGACTTTGGCCTTGTCTCAAGGAAAAAAGAAAAACAAATTTAAGGAGTTTGTTGATTTAACAGTAGCAACTGGTAATTTTCATGTCCATGATAAACACATTTAAAATTCTGCTCCCACCTTTAATATTTCTCAATAAAGCAGAGAAAAAAGAAAAATACAGTGGGGTTTGGTTCCTTGCTTCCCCACCCTATGATAAGTAAAAATCTCATTGTCAAGTAAGAAATGGCAAAAAAAAAAAAAAACAAACAAAAACCTATCATCTTATTCAGTAGGCCTGGATTTATGGGCTACTTACCTATTACTTTTAGAAGCAGAAGAAAGGCACAGAGGAGAGAAGTTCGTACCTAGTCAAGCGAGTGACAGGTTCTTAAACCCAGGGTTGATCTGCTTCGACATACACTACATTCAGTTGAGTAAGTTGTTATAATATTGAAAGACTTGCTGCCAAACCTCTTCCTCACCAATGCCCGCCTTTCATCACCCAGACCTATCCCAGGCCAACCTCCTCTGGTTTTAGCACCTAAGAGGTTACTGCTCATACAGCAGAGAGCCTCCAAGATCCTGCTCCGGGGACCCCAAAAGTCCAGCCTTTCAGGCATCACCAGTTGCTATGATCCCCTCAGGGTCCCTGGAGGACTGGCCTGTGCATCCCAGCTATTCCAGGAAGCTTAGATTGTCTATACTGGCTTCTAGCAGCCTGCTGGTCCACCAGCCAGCCTGCCCAGCTGGACCCCCACAAAAGAGACAGCATTTTCTGGGCTCCTGGTGGGTAGGTACCTGGTGCTTATATAACCATACCTTGCTGTGGTCACCTGCTACCAGTCTTCATTTTCCCCAGAACATCCCTCCTATAGTTGCTGGTAGGAATTGAAGTCACCACAAGACTTTAACTCTCACCAAAGCATAGAGATGGGCAACAGGCACTGAGGAGGTAATGGGGGCTCCTGAGGCCAACAATAGAAGGAGGTTGTGAGCAACAGATAGGCCCCATGGGACCATGTGAGATTAACATTGTCTAAGGTAAAGCCTTAGCCTTTGTATGGTCCCCGTTGAAATTCACTTCCATCTAAAACCCATCAAAAAACCCAGATGAAGTGGGCATTAACATTAATTTTATAATTATTTAGTGATTGTCTCTTATGGGCATCCTTATAAACATATGTTAACTCCTTTGAGTACTGTAATTATCAGTCTCCCCATTTTACAGATGATAAAACTGAGGCATAGAGAGACGTTGTTTAAAACTTAACAGACAGAGATGGAATTTGAATCCAAGCAGCCCAAGATGTCTTATCTGGTCTAGTGAATTAGTTGTGACCCAATTAAATATTCAAATAAACAGTTTTCCTGACAATCAAGAATAAAGATAGCAAATATATATTATGTAAAAATACCAGCATTATAAGGGCTATAGAAGAATGTTCATGTTTTGCTGTTAATTCAGTAAATGGTTAAAGGTGATTATGGATCATAAACAATGTCATTTATGTAAAGAGAAATTCTCTCTTTAAAAAAATATAAATACAAGTCATCCAGTGACAATTAAATAGGAAGTCATTAGAACAACTTTCTGCCATTCTCTGTGTCAAGTCATGGCTCATACAAAAGGCATCATTTAGCAAGTAACATGTATGTCAAGCAAATATCAACCAGCCATTTCTAAAATTCAGCAATGTATTTGGAAACTATTAGGAAAATTGGATGAACTATTTGTGCTACAATACACATTACTTGACAAGTAATTCCATAATTCATATTGGTTAGAGAATAAGAGCATTTTTTTCTAATGTATGTGTTAACATGATAATGTGCCAGTTGCTAAATACAGTTGGCCCTCCTTATCCGTGGGTCCCGCATCCCCAGATTCAACCAACTGCTGAATCCACATATGTAAAATCTGTAAGTACAGGGGACCAACTGTACCACGCTGTTTTACATAAAGCATTTAAACCTTCGCAGATTTTGGTGTCCACAGGCGAGGTGGGT